AAAGAATGGACAGAGTCTCAGATTTCTTGTTTGGGTATTACAGGGTCTCAAACAATATGGCAAATCCTTTGAAACACAGAGGAAGGAATGGTTATCAGTAATAACTCAAAAAGGTGCATTCTTCTAAAATCTGTGTATCAGTCGATAGAGGGTGTTGATCAGAGCAAGCCAGACTATGTGTCTGTTCCTTGTTCAAAGGAATTTAGTAAGTATGATAGTTTCCACCAGGACCCTATAATATAGGAAAGGAATTCTTCAAAGAAAAGTGGAGTAAAGGAAAGGAGATAAAAACAGTTTAGAGTGAAAAAAAAGCTATAGAAGCTAAGAATACAAATCAAGAGAGATATTTAATAGCAAATATAATAGCATATATATATATATATATATATGGAACTTGGGAGAGTTCTGGGGTGGAGACTGATTTGGATGTCAGTAATGTCAGATACACATGGATATGACTGTGTAGGGAGAAGAAAGAAAGGGTAGAGAAGAGAGCCAGAGATGGAATTCCAAGGACTAGTATTTCAGACTAGAGTGAGGAAGAGATGTTCCCAAGGTCTAAAACAGACTATTTCAAGAAAGAGGGATTAACCAATAGGGATAACTGCCTTAAAGAAGTAGAGAGAGGGCATTTGGCAGATTTTTAAGATGGTTCTAGAATAAAGGTGGTTCAGTGAAGGCTCTAACCAGGACTGGGAAATTAGATTACAGAAGTTGATGAGTGAATAAAAATAAAGATGTACACAAATACAGACCACTCTCCTGAGAACTTGAATCTAAAGAGGAAAAAAAATGAATTTATATTTGGTGTTGAACAGGAAAGATCTATACGTAGTTATGTAACAAAGGAATAGAATTGGTTTAGTAAGAAATGATATAAGAAAGAAATATTAAAAAAAACTCCTAAAAGAGAGGTATATTTACTGCCACTAGAAAAATAAGTCTAAAATAAGGCATTTAAAATACCTCAGTATGTTCGGGGAAAAGCATATGAAAAGGGAAAATATTTTTCAAGGACAGGTCAGATAGGATTAACGAACTCTGAGGTAGAAATATACTCAAACATAATCAAGAACACATAGGTGAAACTTGGCAGTGAAGCAAAACCTTAAATAAGTTAATCCACAGCACCAAAATATACTGTATTGTCTAGAATGAGCTCTTACTCATTATGAGGAAGTACATAGTCATTATGGGCAGAGGAAAATATTACCTGAAAAACATGGAGAATACCCAAAAGAAACAAAAGTCACAATTTGTAGAGGCTTGGTAAGCTAAGCATTATTTTCAGCTGCACAAACACAGCTCCTTCTGAGGCTGGGAAATCTACAAAAGTTTTGAAATCCTATTTCTTTGCTTTTGGGAAATATCACCAATACTTTAATAATTTATTTCATTGGGTCACTCTCATCCATTCAACAAGCCTGCCTGACGATTTATTACATACTAAGTAAAATCCAATAGGACATCACTGAGATAACAGAATCTTCAGTGAAATGGAGAAGGGAGTTGTACTCTGAGAATTCTTATTCAGTTTACCTATTGTCTTTTTTTCCCCTCTGTGCTGGGATTGAGCCCACAGCCTTCTTCACACTGAGTTAGATCACTGGCCCTTGTTAAATTTTTTTTATTTTTCAACAGGATCTCACTAAGCCATTAAATTAGCCAGGCTGGGTTTGAACTTGTGATCCTCCTGCCTCAGGCTCCTAGGGTGCTGGGATTATAGGCGTGTGCCACTACACCCAGTTTAACTATTAATATATCTTTGTACTAAAAATATAGAATGAAACCTGTCAAAAATCCTTTTGCCTGGTGGACTATATATATATATATATATATATATGGAGGAAATGAGGTGTGATTAAAAAATACAGTAAAAAATATTTATCATAGTACATTTTCATTAATCTCCCCTCAATTCAAATACACTTATTCAATCATTCTTGCCACTTTCTGAAGCAGTTCTAGAAGTCCTTTTTTGTGACTGTCTTTAATTGTGTTGTTGTGGCTACCTTAATGTTGTGAATAGATTCAAAACATCTGAATCTATAATGACCAATATCATGGTCATTATGACAGCGGGGAAGAGGCAGAAATCACACTGTACCACATCTGGTGAAGGAGGTAAATGAAGACACGCATAATGTTCTTATGGGCCTGGTTTCATTGGATGGTACATAGCAGCAGCATTCACCATATTTTGATCACACATTCATGAAAAAGGACTTCCAGATCTGTTTCAGAAGATCCATAAGTGTGTTCAAAATGACAGGAAGTATTTTGAGGGAGATTAATGGCAATGTGTCTTCTACTGTAATAAATTTTTTAAAATGTGAACATTCACCATAGTTATGATCATCACTTGTATAAAGAAAATACACTGCAAGACACATTGGTTTTTAAAGTGAAAAAGACACTGGGCTAAAGGGTTAAAGCATTTCTTAAATAGGACACACGCATAAATACTGAATAGTTTCTCTAGTATGAGAAACTGAAAGTGTAAATAAGGATTAAAATGATTAAAACAAATAATTGATAATTTGAAATAGGAAGAAAAGGTCCAAAGGGGTAGGGGAAATGGGAGGGGAAGGGGAAAGGAAAGAAGGGAAAGGAAAAATTGTGAGAAAAGAAAAAAATGGAAACAAAGTCTATGTAAATAGGGAAGGGTGGAGGGGGTGAAGGGTGCACAGGTAATGGGGAAAAAATAAGAACCAAGATACATCACATAGAAAAGACTCAATATGAAGATGAAAAGTAAAGATTCCTTCCTCCTCCAGTAAATTCAATTTTTAAATTTCAGACTATGGGATAGGCATAAAATGGAAGTATCTATTTAATTGTTGAGGTATATACATATGTTTTAAAAATCCTAAAACATGACTACATGTTTTTTACAGTTTATCACTGCCAGTGTCCTTATTACTCATCTTTTCTATTGCCTGTCTATATTTTTAGGGTTAAGAAACTCAAATACCTACTTGAAACTTCCAGATTTCCTCACAAATAGGAGCCAAGCTTCCTGCAAGAGGAAGAGGAGAGTTTAATGTTCTTGTTTGAAGTTGTGTTAACTGATAGCTACAACTGATATAGTGTGATATAGAAACTACATATCGTCTGCTCCAGATTAAAAAATATGTAAGGCTAAACACAAATTCTCCCAAAGGTGGAAAACAGGCATGGGGGAAAACTATAGGGACAGGACACACAATTAGGCTTTACTTTACACCAACTGCCATATATTTCTCTTTTGTCCTGAGAAGGCCTATTCAAATGGCTAAGCTAACAGCACGTTAGTGTACAGGGGACCCTGCAGGTGTAAGAACTCAGCTTTGTTTTGCCCTTGTTCTTGAACAAAAGCTTCTCCTTTGCTAGCCTCCCAAACATTCCTAGTCATTATGTAGAAATATATTAATTTTAAAGCAAAATAAATTATGTACCTTTTGCAAAACAAAATAGAAAAGCCACATACATAAACACATATACACAATGAATTGATATTACCTTGTTCCTTCTTCTACATGCCTCAGAGTTCAAGTCAACACTTGTGGCTACACAAGGGGCAGACTTGGCAGCTGCAGAACCCAGATGTCAGACACTGGATTGTATGTCCCTGGCAGCACTCCTAAGTTGGATGCTGTCTCCTTAACTGACCTCCAAAATGGCCTATTGTCTGACTCCCTTTAGGGTCTGGGTAGTAAGTAACAAGCTGTTTTTCGTGGCCAGTTCAGAGTCAGTCCAAGATTCAGCTGGCTCCAAGGCAGAAACATTATGCCTGGACTGTGGTGGAGGAAACTGCTCACCTCATGGTGGCCAGGAAGTAGAACAAGGAAACAGCCAGAGAGGAGCGGACAGAAAGGGGCTATAGAGTGATACAGAGAAAGCATATAGTCTGCTCCAGACTACAGGGATTAACACTATTCAAGGAAACATTCATTTATCACTACTAGGTGTTTTAAGTCATTTAACCTTATTAGGCTTCAATTTTCTCTTGGGTAAAACAGAATTGGCTAGTTGATTTCTAATGTTTCTTGCAGTTTTAAAATAGTAACGCTGATTTATATAAAGTATAAGATCATTTAAATGGGCATTTTCACATTTTGTTAAAAATAGGTCATTAACACTTGTCCTTAGTAAATTTCACGATAATGAGGATCTATCTACAGATGTTCATGTGATTTCTCTCAAATCCTTCCAGTCTGATTAAGCCAGGACTAGCAATCTTACCATATTCAAGGTTATTCCTTAAACATTTACATGTAAGAGAAAAGGCATACTTTTTCTCTGCGCTATTCAAAATATACACTTAAATCTTTGCCTTCTATAGAAATAATAACTTACATTCAGAAATGAATAATGCAAAGAAAACCATTTTTATAGATCTGAAAATAATCAAAATACTCATTTATTTTAATGCATATTTATTTAAATATAACAGTTCTGTAGACAAATGAAAATACTTATAAATATACCTATAATATGATAGCCACAAGTATAAATGAAATGTGTATTTTAGACAAAGTTTAACATATATATTAGACAAATGGACATTTAATTTTAAGAGTATACGGACATTTGGAAAAGATAGGCATTCACTAAAAGCACTACAAAATGTTCACATTTTGTCAGTAAGACATATTATTTCTCAGACTGATGTTTTATGAAAACTATGTAAAGATATAATTTAATCATTAATCTCCCATGGTAACATTATAAATGGACATTTTTTAATAGAAATATTCCTTTAACTTTAAATATTTGCCAAGATTGTACCACATTTAAACAAACATGCATAGCATTTTAAAATCTGAATAATTCATGTACTTTTTGCACAATGTTTAGTTTTGCTATGGCGCTCCATTTTTACAAAAAAATAGGCTGAAAAATTTGGCATGGAATAATAAATTGTGTTGCTATTAATCGAAATAAATGTGACTTCAATTTTCCATGGCATAGGAAATTCACAATTTACCTCTTCCCTTTACAGTTTTTTTCTTTTTTTCTTTTTTTTGGTACCAGGGATCGAACTCAGAACCTTGCACTTGTGAGGCAGGTGTAGGAACCACTGAGCTAAACCCCCAACCCCCTTTACAGTTTATTGACCAGTGGCAGTTCTCAGTTTTAGTTGGAAAAAAGAATAGACATTCAAGAACTGAAAGTCACATCCAGGTGTTCTGCCTACATTCTAATTGGAAATGAATTGAGTTTAGAATTTATAACAGTAAAACATTTCCATCTGTATTGTGGCAAAAAATTTCTAAGTAAGGGTGCTATCAGCAATAATACGTATCATCATGAAATGTCTTTATTCAAGAGGCAGAGATGTTGAAAATGAAATATGGCCCTTTTCAGATACTGGGAACACGTGTGGTAAGTAGAGCAAACGCCAACTGAAGCAGAAGCAGAAAAGTGTCTGGGAAGCTGGTTGGAGAGAGTTCAGAAGTGGGGAAAGGGGAGAAAACAAAGGTGGAAACACAGCAACCAGTCAGGGTGGGGAGGGGTGGCTACGGGTCTCAGAAAACTCAAGTGTACACTCAGGAAAAAGCAGCTGAGTGCTAACAGCATTTCTGTATTAGCAACCAACACTGCTGGTTAGGGGAAGTTTTAAAAGTCCACATCACTCTGTCTATATTGAGACTCAAGAAATTAAGTTAACTGGAAACTTTTTTCTGAATTCATTCATACTCAGTGAGGAAAAAGAAAGAGAATAAAATGAACTCCCACCTCCTGTGAGCCAGGGAAGAGACTTCACATGCACCCTCCGCTCAGGCTGCAGAGTCTGCTAAGAAAGCTGTCTCGGTTCTCTTTCACAGTGCTAGAGGTGGAGGGACCAGCTGTAGCAACTTGTTCCTTTCATACAACCTTGATGGCTCAATTTTTACATTTACTATGTGGGGAGAAGGTAAATAGAACTGAAGTTCCATTTGTATACATCTATTTAATCCTAAAGAATAAAGCAATGAACATGATATTATTTTGTTTAAAGATCCCTGCTTTTTTGAGGGCCTTTAAGGGGTGAAATGATAAAGAACATAATGCCAAACAGGTTAAATAAAATAGGCAAACCTTTTTTTCTTTTTAAAGCTCTTAACGTGCAAATAGACACACAAAATTACGCATCACAAAGCACCGAGTTTTCCAGAGTGAAATCATACCAAAAGCGTAATAAGTTCTCACTGACATCAAAGGAGAGTAAGTGGTCAGGCAGGTCGCTGACGGTGCCCTGCACGGCCAGGATGTGTGGGGCCAAGGCGAAGGGCACATCGCCCAGCAGCTCGGCCATCAGTGAGCTGTTCTCCAGCGTCTGGCCTGCCACCGGTTCGCTCGCAGGGCCTCCTGCTGCAGTCACACTGGGTGAGTTCTCCTGGCCGGTCTAAAAATACATATATATATTTAGAATATTTCAATCGTATGAACTGTGAGGTTTAGAAATGGTGAATGTGGCACCAATATGCCAAAATAACTGAGAAATACGGAATATATAAGTACTTCCAGATTTGAATGCAACTGATTTACTTGAGAAATGCATCCATTCAAATATCTGCTAGGCTTTAAAATGAATCCTAGTCTACTCTATTCAGATTGGCCACTCATGGCTCGCTTGAATACAAGCTGGCATTCTCACTATTTCCCTAGCCCAGATAACGTCTACAAAGCCAAGCTCTACTTTTCCATATCCTGTGGATGTTTTCAAGCTCTGAAATAACCAGCTTCCCTGTGAAGTCTTGTATCACCAGATTCTAGAGTGCTCTTGCCCACTGTAGTATGCTTACAGGGCAAACTGCCTAGGAAGCTGTTTGGTGAACTCCATGTGTTCTTGCTAAGTGCTGGTCCATATGCACTGTTCTTATCTCCACTTAGACTCTGAGGTCCTTGAAGGCAAGCAATCTAGTTGACATATCCTTATATTCCCCACCCTGCAATCTTTACTGCTTTAATCTAATATATACTTGAAACTTTACCTCTAATGTGTGCCATGAGTACAGTTAACTCTCCGACTTTTACTGGAAACATGTTATGTCACAAACATTATTCAAATAAGAATAGATATAACCTGTTCAACTTCTTTAAAATTGGTATTTCCTGAAAAGACATTCACTAGGATGGTCCCGGCATCCCTTATCACATGTCTGAAACTAGTAGCTATCTAAATATCCATCAGTAGCAGAATGGACAATAAACTAAAAATCTATTTTCACCAACAATAATGAAGGACTTGCCATTACAACAGCTGAAATGTAACTCAAGCCAGTTTAAGGGGTGAAAAATTCTCTCTCTTCCCTCTATCTCACGCAGAAAAAACTCTGGTCTTCACTCCAGCCTGTCAGGTCTTTCTGGGTCTGGCCTCAGGTCTGTCTCTGACTCGTACCCAGCAAGTCCACCCTCATTCACCCCTCTCCCACTGAAGGGCCCATCGCCTCCTTGCAGTAGCTACTGTACTCCCAGCTCTTTGTTTCCTAGTCCTCTGCCCAGACATACACAGGGCTCTTTCCCACACCTCCTTCCAAGGGATGCCATGTTCTCAGAGGCCTTTCCTCACTGCCTTTTGTAAAAGTGCCTTCTACCTCCTCACCTCCTCCATTCTGCCTATCTCTGTCTCTCTCTCTCTCTCCTGCCTGCTGTCTGCCTCACCAGAGCCCTCAGTGCCTTGTTCTATGCTATGTCATTTATTCTGTTTATTGTCCTTTAGGCATTGTACCTTTCATGTTCACTGCTAGAGATCAGAAAATATGTGTGAAGTGAATGAAAGCAGGCAAGATTTTTGTTTGCCCGGAGCTTATAATAGCTATAAATGCTGATAACTTTTTCATGAAGTACAAAATACATACAGAAAAGGGTTCATCACAAGTGTCTAGCTTATTAAATTTACATAAACTGAACACACATGAGCAGTCGATGAGGAAACAGTGAAGATGGTGTTTTTTTCCATTCACAGTCAGTTTCCTCCTCCCTTAATTACCATCTTGAGTTCTAACAGCTCAGATGGGTTTGATCTGTTTTTGAATCTTAAATGAGTACAATCCCACAATATGAGTACTTTTGGTTTGGGCTTTCCAGTCAATATTATGTATATGAGATTCATCTACATTGTTACGTGTTGGATGAAGAAAATCTTGAAGAATACCCTGTTGCTGAGGCTTTACACTTTGATGTCTTAGAAGAATCACTGGTCGCTGTGTAGAGAGCAGACAGTGAAGGTTGGATGGCCAGTACAGAAAGCACGAAGGCAGCTGGGAAGGGTGATGACTGTGAAGTTAATTAGGGTTATGACAGAAAAGGAGAGATGAAATGGCAGACCATGAACAGAACTGGATTTCCTGATGGGATGGACGGCGGGAATGAAACCAGAGCACAATCAAGGACAAACCCAAGTTCCTGGCCTATGCAGTGAGACATGGAGTCCCTATTCATAGAGATAGAAGAGAGTGCCTGGCAGAAAGCAGAAAGAAACATCAGAATCATTTTTTCTAGATGTTATGCTGGAAATGGGAAAAGAGATACGGATCAACAGCTGAGAAGGGAAGTGAATTCAAAACATTTCTTTTGATTTTTGTTTTTAAGTTGGGAGAAATAGTAGCAGATTATAATTTAATGAGAAGAAGCTCATATGAGTGAATTCATGGGGAATCTGTAAAGAAGGAACTATTCTTTTTACAAAGCATCCCCAACATCTAGCCTGGCACCCTCAAGAAAGATTTGTTTAGTGAATGACTTTGTATTAATAAAGTTACTGAGTAGATCTATCAAGAGTGGCTTTACAGTTGCATGTGAAAACAACACCATAGTACGTTTCTTAGGACTGAAACTAAATGAAATGTAATCACATCCTGCAATGACCAAGCTTATTCTAAAGATCTGTGTGTGCAGTGGACAGATCCTGTCTCCTGAAATTGAACTGGGAATGACAATGCTAAGTATCCTAGGGTCAGCCAAGAGCTCAGGTGTCAGTGAGGAATGATAATTATTCCAGACTATTTAAAAGGCTTTGCTATGTGCTGGTGGGGTAGAAAAACTGAACAAGCACCATTTGAGTGCACCATAAAAACCTCAAGACATGCACTGGGGTTTTGGTTACCCATGAGGAGTATGGCAGAGTGGTTAAGACCAATTCTAGAAGCAGATTGCTGGGGTGCAAATCCCACGTCTCCTGCTTACTAATAAGCAACTGGCTTGCCTTGGGTTTACTTCTCTGTGCCTCAATTTCTTTAGCTGTATTATGAGATCAATAAAAACCCAATAAAAACTAGGACTGTCAGACCCCTCCTGGCTTTGGAGAAAGTCTAGAACCCACTCCCCACTTTTGTACTGACATTCATTGGTGGTTCAAACAATCTTCCTTTTCCCTTTTTTATTTTTTGCTTTCTCTCTTAACCTTAGGAGGTAATCTTCCCCTAGATCCCTTAGTCTTGTTCCAACCTTGAACTTTCTTCTCTTTTCTACTTATGCACATAATGTTATCCAGTTCCATTAGCCAAATCATCCTTTTCCTTAAACAAAAGCATGCTTGAAATCTCGTCCTCTCCACAAAAACAGGTGTATTACTGGTAACACTTTGCTTTCTAAACACATAACCTAAGGCTCTCCAACAGCAATATTTACTCCTTTGTTCATGCTTTTATTAACTCTCTTTACTTTCCTTACAAATTGTTCTTACCTGTCAGAGCATTTCTCATTGAGGAGAAGACTTTATCAAACCATAGCCAATGTTTACATTGGGATTTGAGACATGGTTTCTTGTTCGAGCTCCCTTGATAAAGTTGCCATCTGACCTGAAGATAGCTGCTTTACTCATCTAGGCCTCGACCCTCTATTCCATACAGTGAGTGGTGAGGGACAAAAGATGATGAGGAAGAGAACAACTAGCATAGACTGAAAACTTAGAATTTGTCAGTCTCTAGGAAGCTGCTCAAATGTATTCACGTTAAGTCTTACAACATCTTTTGGGGAGTGCCCTATATTAAAAATAAGAGGCAAAGAAAGGTTCAGAAAGTGGTCCCAGGTTTCACAGCTAGTCAGTGATAAAACTGAGAATTAAATACCATCATCTTTAACACTCTCAAGAGCTTGCATATTTCACACATGCTTTGGATAGACTGACGAAAGCCTTAAAAATTTATGGGACAATATTAGAAAATAGGTTAATTACTAAAGTATTATCACCTTGGCTTAATTTACAAGAAAAAAAGACTATTATTCTTTACCTTTGAAAGTAAAGATCTGAAAAAATATCTTACAGACTGAAAAGGGATTAAAAAACAACTGTAATTTAAGATAAATCAATCTCTGGAAATGAATCTACCAGTATTTGGGTAAGTCAAGGGAAAAATACTATAGACAATAAAACAAGATAATTGAATTGATAATTACTTAAGCAAAGAGGAAAGTATGGGGAGATTCTCTACACTATTCTACCTCCGCATAAGTTTGAAACATTTTAATTAATAAAAGTTTAAAAAAATATATTTACTTTAAAAATACCATAAACAAAGTGTTCTAGCAAATGCCACCTAGCATGATCCGAATTTCAGCTGTGCTGTATGTATTACTCCAGCATCTATCTCTTAACAGTTGGCTGGAGTGCCACATTCCATTCTCTACTGAGGCTGCCTGCCCTCTTGGCAGCACGGTGAGTGCCATGATGCAGCTGCTGTTGGCACGCTGAGAGGTGGATGGGGAGAAATTATAAGGCAAAACAACAGTAAGTCACACAGAAAATGTGAGTCAAAATTCAAGGACCTATACCCCTAAACCTGATCACTAGGTCTCCAGCTTGGCAGCAGTGGGAGCAGAGGTGGGGGCCGAGGGCTAAAACAGGTGCACAAGTTCCTGGGCAAAAAGCAGCTCTCTCTCTCAGACACAATGTCTTGTGATTTCTTCCATTTGCATAATAAAATGGGTCTTTAACAGGAAGAATTAGTATGTTAACTACAATGGAGCAAGAAGAAAAGAATCAATTAACCTTCTGGTTAATAGCCAAATTTTAGAAAATTACTTCAAATATTATGTGCATAAAGTACAATCATTTTTGTGACTAGTCCTGTTCACAGAAACGCTACTATGATAATGGTTTTGAGTAAAAGTTCCTTCATATAATCTAGCTTCCATATTTCTTTTTCAACTTAGCATTTGCTCTTATATGGTTTCAAAATAAGTATATCATGTCAGAAAGTTTTTTAATCTTAAGGAGAAAATAAATTCTTTATATCATCACAACAAATAAAATTTACAATAAGCTGTTTCCATATATTTATGTAAACATGATTTTTTTGTTCATCAGTTATTCTGCTAAAAAATGAACTGGCCAAATTTGTTCTGAGTTCCCAATATTCTCTTTTTTGCAAATAATTCAAAGAGGTTTATGGCCACTATTTC